GGAGACTGTAAATATGGTCTTCCCTGCAAATTTTGAATGAAATTGAACAGATAAATTCTGAGATACGGCTGTATAGATTTGAGGGCTGCCGGACGGACGGACAACCATTTTTTCAAGCATGGTTTTTGACTCCAGGGATCTTAAAACGTCTAGAAATGATGAAATTTCAACGTTTTTTTTTTTTGGAGGATGACAATACTTCCTTTACCCTAGGGGAGCGAGAAAGTAAAAATGAACATGCTATGACATAATACATGGACATGCTATGCATGACGAAAAAAAAGAAAAGAAAAAAAGGGAGCATGAACAGAAATTAAACAAACAAGTGGACCACGTTAAACAGAAAGGAACCAAGCCACATCAGCTATTGCCAAATTTATCGGGGACATTTAATTTTTTCGAGAGAACATTAGTGTGGATTTCTTCAAACATTTGCAGGAATTTACTACGCACTGTGGAGAAAATCCACTGAAATTCGCACAAAAATCCGCACAACCGTTTTCATGTAAAAAATTACATTGCCCGATTAAATTTGGCAATAGCTGATGTGGCTTGGTTCCTTTCTGTTTAACGTGATCCAAGTGAGGCCTAAATAAAGGTGGTTATTACTAAAAAAAACTATACGTAACTTTCAGATACTTCTAAAAATTTAAAAAACCTTTTGCTTAGTAAAAAAAAGATATGATTCCTTTATTGATTCAGATAAAAAAAATCAAAAATACTTAGAAGAATAAAATCATAAGTTAAAGTCTTAACAAAAATCACATAAATCATGTTTATTTGAAACATAACAAGGGACCTTGTGAGAATTAAAAAAAACTCATGTTCCAATTTGTCCAAATTTTACTCTTTTCTATTGTTTTTGGGGATTGATTACATGATTTTCTAAGCATCACAATCAAACTTGGATAAATTATAAAGTGAGACTTACTCCACTTACCAATGGCAAAGACTTTAAGGGCTTTGATAGAGCCTCCCCATGCTCCTGATAGCGTCACCATTGCACGGATATACTTATCCTTCCAAGCTTGGATTTGGTCTTGCAGGAAAAGGAGGGACATGGGCCCACCCATTGAGTGTGCAACTAAGAGGACTGGGGTGTTGTTATTCTGCTGATAAGTGTCTTCCACCAGAAGTTTCATTTTGGTGAAGAAGTCTTGGTTCTCATCTGAAAATGCAAAGGAACATTCGTGACACAGTTTAACTATTTGTTTCTAAAAATTACAAATTTATTGGCTTAAACATGACCATCCAAAAGTAGAAGGACCTTCCTCCAAGAGGAGAAAAAACCCTTCAAGACTGAGTCATTGGCAATTTAGTAGGCTTTGTCTCCGCGGGACGTTTCCACAGGATTTGTCCCGGGGGAGAATCCCACTTGCAAAGTCAGGAAAAATATTGAGTTAGTCAATATGATTCTTAGTACCAAGTATAGTCCTCGTACCCCTTGAAGAGACATCTAAGACTAACTGAGAGAGGAATAAGAAGTAAAAACAAACTGGGTGATATTTTCTTGTTTACTTGATTGTTCATCTTGGATTATTAAAAATAATTTGTTTAATTCGATCATAATCATGTTCAATTATTATCTTCATCCCTGTTAAATACTCATTTTTCACTAAGTTATCTTCCCATGCAAACTTGTCGCAGGAATGTGAGCGCTCTGTCTCGTGGAGAAATCCCAATAGTATCATTCGTTCGACTCAAACTTGGGACAGATCCTACAGAAACATCCTTATAGACAAAGCTGTATAGGGGAGAGTTTCCCTAAAATATAGTGCCAAAATGTCAGTCTAAACTTGCAACTTTTTATGTTTTAAAGTTTGTGATTCAAAAACATTGGTTAGAAGAAAGCTGAAAATAATTGGGAACGCCGGCCTCCGCAAAATTCATAATTCCGACGACCAGTAACCAAAGGAACTCATATGAGCATGGCTGGATAAGTAAAGTGCCATAGCATTTTATTTACCTGGCCGCTGCTAATATAAGAGACTCTTAGTGAGAATTTGACCGTCAAACGCCGCAATCTGGTGACCATTGACAATTTTGAAATTCTTCGTTGAAGTGTTGTTGTCAAAGTGAGGATCACTCACTTTACTGGCAATTTTATAAGAGTAACCTTCAATGAGCAACTAAACTAAAACTTCAGTTTGGCTGAAAATTTTTTGTCTAAAAATGTTTGTAGGACACTGCTGCATCGAACATCATTTCTCTATGGAGGGGAATAGTACTCAAATGAGCTTTTTCTCCCTGAAATGAGAATTTTAATTTACTTAATGATGAATCTTAATGCACACTGATGAAAAAACCAACATGTTTGTCAAAACAACTCGTGCTTGGAACTGATTTCTGTTCTGTTAAAATAATAAGCATATATGACAGATGAACAGATAGCATACTTGGTGCTTTGCGGAAATCATAGGGTGCACCGCGAAGGGAGGCACCGCGGTCATATCCCAAGGGTAGGAGTGCAG